CAATTATTTTAATGATTAAATATTAACAAATAAATAACAACATTCAACCACAAAAATGGTTATACAACCAAAATCGCCTTTAAAAGTCGTTGATGATGTTTTTATTATACAAAATTCTATATAGGTTAATTGAAAAGTCCCTGGCTTGACTCATAGATGGCGTTACTAGAATTTAATAAATTTTCCGTATGCCATAACTTTCAAAGGCGCGTGTATGAATTTGAAAGCAGTCGGATCAGTAGTTCGTCAATTAACGGGTGGTCCAAGTAAAAGTTTTTTTTTTCAATAGCATTTTTTTGACAGATCACGAGTGAGTCGTGTCAAGCTGTCATTTTATTTCTGCTCAGTACTAGTTGTGACTCGTACTGACGTATGGAACGACTTGGCGCATTTTAATGGAACGCCATTAAATTGAAAGCGTACAAAATATAGCTTGTGCAAGAACTGAAGCCATTTGACTCTCCCAAGTGACATCGCTTCGCTCTATGAGCTCTTGAAAGAGCAAATTTTGTTCAGTGATGAGGGCTATTTCTGGTTCAATCGGTGTGTAAACAAGCAAATTCGCCGCATTTGGGAAAAAGAGCAACCTGAAGAGATTCAAGAGCTGCCTTTTGATCCAGAAAAATCAACGGCTAGGTGTGATTTGTGGGCCGGTCAAGTCATCGGTCGATATTTCTTCAAAAATGATGCCGATAAGGACGTAACCGTTATCGCGCCATTATAACCGACTATTTTATGTCTGAATTTGAAACTCGTGATCTTGACGGCATTTGATTTCAAMAAGACGCCGCCACTTTCAATGGACCAATGGATTTATTGAGATAACACTTCGGTGAGCAGATAATTTTACGTTTTGGGCACCAAGATCATGTGATATCATTCCGTTAGATTTGCTTTTTTCCTGTAGGCATACAAGGTGCGTCCCAATGTAAAGAAGACAAACAATGTAAGAATGATGTTTAAATATATAATTATAAACCCCASAAATTTCGTTTTAATCAATTAATTCTTTTTCTCTTAAAGACATCCTCAAAAAAATCGATTTTTTGAAGCTTCTAAATCAGACTCCCCCTTAAATCATTTTGAGGGAGGCAAAATTTTTTATTGTGAAAAAATTGATAAAARAAATTTCGCGTTTAGATCAAATATTGCGTTTTGAAGGGAAAAAAATATAATTGAAGCAGAAACATAGCTTGATGACGACTTTCCAAACACTGTCCTAGGAAAATCCACCATCTAGGATTGATATGCTAACCTTAGACGTGGTGAAATGAACACCGAAGCCAGTGAACGTATACGAGAAAGTTCTGTACAACGATTTTTGAATTGATATGGGACAATGGATGAAACATGCCTCCATCATTGCACTCCAAAGTCCAATGGACAGTCATCCGAGTGGACTGCACACGATGAACCTGCGCCAGTGTGGAAAATGCAACAGTCGATTGGCAAGGTTATGGCGTCTATATTTTGGGATGCGCATGGAATCATTTGTATTGACTACCTTGAAAAACTAAGAACCATCAACAGCGACGACTATTATTGATCCGTTTGAAGCACGAAATCTCAGAAAAACGGTCGCATTTGAAAAACATTAAAATGCTATTTCACCAAGGCAATGCATCGTGTSACAAGTGAGTGTGTACGATGGCTTCGAACTTTATTCTCCAGATCTCGCTTCCAGCGACTATTTCCTGCACTCAAATCTCAAAAGAATGCCCATAGGGTAAAAACTTTCATCGAATGAAGAAGTTGTCGCCGAAACTGAGGCCTGTTTTGAAGCAAAGGACTAATCATACTACAAAAATAATATAGAAAAATTGGAGGGTTGCTGTAATCAGTGTATCGGTCTTGAAGGAAACTATGTTGAATAAAAAATGTTTGGCAAAAAAATGTGGCAGGTCGTAGACATTGAAATTGAACTGTTACAACATTTCATTCGCGTATACCTTATTCAGAAAACTTATATTCATTTTCACTTGAAATACTTCTTCCAAAACCTTCAAAACAAGTGAAGACCTTATCAAATAAATTACATTAGAGTTAAGTAATTAAACAATAACAAAGTTGCTGTTAATTTGCGTCACTTTCTTCGACTCGAACTCGAACTCGTTCAAGAAAGCCATAAAATCACATGTTGAATATTACATTAACGAACATCTGTTAGACAAGAACACGTTAAAATTCAACAATAGAATAAAATAAATAAGTACAAAGAAGAATACTGTGTTGACATAGAATTGTTGAAGCGTACCAAAAGTGCGAGACTAACCAAAACAAACGAGTCGGCTAGAATTAATAAATAAAATACTGCCCTAGGGCACTGAAAAGCCACTCAGCATTGGATAAAGTAGAACGAAAGAAATGCAAAAATAAACACAAAAACAAAAACAAAAAATCAACAACAAAGCTTAAGTACAGGGCTGAAGGTCATTGGGGTAGAAACAAACAAAAATGTTTATTATATGCTACTGTAGATATATACATATATTTATATATACAGACATATGTATATGCTCTTATATATAATACGTATATAAGACAAGAAAAACTGGGGAAACCAAATGACATATATGCCTAACAACAAACACCTCTTTAGCAATGACCTTGAACCGAGTGTGTTACCATTGCGCACACCAAAAAAAGGCTATCATGGGGGGGAAGCAACAACAGTATTAAAATAAAATTACTCGTTACAGATAGGCGGCCAAGTGTGTGAGTATCGATTAATTCTAATTTGTCATTGCATTGGGGATTTGCTGGCACTCACCACAAGGCAATTCACCAAATTACTTACACACCCATACACACACACACAGGTAAAGAAGCCAATGAATTTACAGTAAAGCATATGTATGTATGTAAAATATATTGCGCTGTCATAACACTATCCAGCACCATGACAAGCTATACAATAACAAGGGTAATTAAATTTGCAAAACTAAAAAGCAAAAAAAAAAAAAATTAAAACAAAACTTAAAAGTAAAAAAAAAAAAATTAAAGCAAAACTAAAAAGTAAACTTGAAAAAAATGTATGTAATATTAAAACAAAAATATAACATTCAATTTTCTTCTATGAGTGTGAAACTGTTTGTATGTCGATAAAAAAAAATTATAACAACAACAGCAATAATATTTACCAAAGACTTCGGAAGTGAAAGGTAAATAAAAATTCATTTACTGCTGAGCTTATAAGCCACGAATACAAATTTACAGCGTAGTAAAATAAAACAAAACAAGAAAAAACRTAAACTTCGGTTGCACCGAAGCTAAATAACCTTTACAGGTGCATTTCTGTTAGTAACTATGTGTTCAGTTTGTATGGCAGCTATATGTTATACTTAACCGATCTGAACAATTTCTTCGGCGATTACATTGTTGCTTTAGAAAATAACCTGTGCCAACTTTTGTGAAAATACATTGTCAAATGATCGTTAGGTTTCAGACGGACAGACGGAAAGGGCTAAATCGACTCAGCTCGACATACTGATTATATATATACTTTATAGGGTCTCCGACCCTTCCTTCTGGGTGTTACAAACTTCGTTACAAACTTAATGTACCCTGTTCAGGGTATAAATATTAAAACAAATTTGTATCAACAGCAATAACAAGATAAAACTCAGCAGAAAACATGTAAGGAAGGGCTAATGCGATCCTTTGTGCCAAATTTCATTTTAATATCTTTATTTATGGCTTAGCTATGACACTTTATAGGTTTTCGGTTTCCACCATTTTGTGGGCGTGGCAGTGGGCCGATTTTGCCCATCTTCGAACTTAACCTTCTTATGGAGCCGTTCAGTTGTATGACAGCTATATCACATCGTGGTCCGAGCTGGAAATTTCTCCGGATATTATAATGCTGCTTTGAAAATAATCCATGTCAAATTGTTTCCAATGAGGATGATATGATTCCGGCCATTTTTTATTTGTCATGATTCGCAATTTTTTTCATTGCATTCAGTAATGTTTACAGTGTCATCATGGAATGATATAGCCAAGAACAATGGTCGAAAATTATTCAATTTTATTATCAAAATAAACGTCCTCCAATTGCAACTTCTCGTGCGCTTTTGCCATTTTATGATCGTCATAATTGTCCACCTATGCTCGCTTTTCGTTGAATTGTTGAATATTATTATTACTGATTATTAATAATAAAGTGCAAGTGCCAACAAGACAAAGAAATGCTCTAAACAATGAAAATATTGCTGTCGGTCAGGCAAGTGTTGCTCAAGACCGCGATTTGTCGATTCCAAGACATCTCAAACCACAATCTGGCGGATTTTAAGAAAGTATTTGGGCTTGTATGAGTATAAAATTGTTCTCACTCAAGAACTGAAGCCGTTGCATCACCGTAGACGTCGTGAAATTTCTCATTTTGACTTGGAACAACTTAAAAACGATAATGATTTAAAAAAAATATATTTTTTTTTCTGAAGCTGGTGCCACCGTTGCTGACAATGGAGAGCACAGTTGAAAGAAGTTGATCTTGACAACATCTGGTTCCAAGACCAAAAGACGTGGTACGTATACA